TTAAATGAATTATCAATGCTGTGATTGTAGATAATGGGCAGGTTTAGGCAAGTAGCTGTGATCCTGTGATTTTCTCACTTACTGATATCAACATATCTGTCTTACTTAAGTGGAATAATCTCTTGTTATGAATTAATAAAAATATTCAGTGTAATTTTCCTGTACAGAAACTGTTAGAAGTGCCAGTAATAATAGTAATTTGTCTGGATTTTAAGAGCTGGATTTTTTATTATTCTTCTTGTTTCTGGCAGTGTTAGTATAATGAAGGCGATGGCAGTAAATAAAGCCCAGTTTGTGTTGTTTTTTGTGTCAGATGCCTGCTCCTGCTTCAGAGACGACATCTGAACCGGAGGCCATCGCTGCTCCTGTCCCTCCTGCTCCTCCTCCTCCCACCACTTCCCTGAACCTGTACCACAACACTGCCCCCTGCCTGCCGCCTTACACCGCCTACGACCTGCAGGTACCCTGAAAACATGGCGGACAGCATCATAGATTCACATCAGTTGCTACATCAAGACTGATATAGTTCATGCAAATATATCTGAAGCTTGCTATAGATTATTTCCAGCGGCCATTATTTTTCATTTATAATGAAAATGTTTCAACATCATGGCTCCCTGGTGAATGTGTTGTTTTCTTAGAAAGGCGACATTTTATGCAGATTTTTACGTTTTTGTGCTTCCATGTGGGTCTTAACTGCTTTTAAAAACATCCAGCCTTTTCTTTGTTCAATAAATGTATGTTTTTTGCTGTGTGGAAACCGAGACATTTCAAGAACTTTCGTGATTGTAATGCAACGTCACAAAACAGGAGGGACTGATCCTCACCTCATAAGCCGTCACCTAACAACCCAAGCTGAGTTTCTGGTCCACTGGTTTCACTCCTGCAGTTTGTTTGTTTTGTATGTGTACGTATTAATCCTTTATATGGAGGTGTCTTTAATTAGAGGCTGAAACACAGACTGCTACAGGAAATATTTCCTGCCAACTGCCACCAATATCTAGAAAAACTCTGAAGAATATTTTAGATATTGAATTTGGTTTGAAATTTTTTTGAGTTTTTCATTTGATGGGTAGAAAATCCAGAAATTTTACTCAAGTAGGAGTAGCAATACTTCATAATAAAATTACTCAAGTAAAAGTAAAACTACTCCTAGAAGTTCATTTTTTTTAAAGTTACTTAAGTAGATATAACTGAGTAAATGGTGACTAGTGTTTTTCTGTTTGCACGCAGGGTCCCTTCCCGTTCCCGGACTCCTCAGGCCTCTCTGATGACTCCCAGTCTGGAGCCAGCCACCTCTGGCCCACCATGATCCCTCCTCGCTACTCCCCGCCTCACGAACACCCCGACGAGAAACCGCCGCCGTACAGCCCGTAGGCCGGCTCCAGGCCATGGAAACACCTAAGGACCCGTCAGGAGCCTCTCGCTCAGATTCTGCTGGCTTTTCTTCACAAACTCTGAACAATGCGTTGAAGGAAAAATAAGCGAGGGGAGGACGACCTCGGCGCCGGCTAGCAGGACTAGCGCTGGGACTCGGTCTGGCCGTTTCTGTGCGTCCATATCTGAGAGAGAGACGCAGCCTGCTGCCCGGCAGGTTTGTTTACACATCTATCTGCCTTAATGCATACGGACTCTGAACACTGCGCCATTTAAAGACTCTTCTCCTGTACAGAAACTCTCCTCCAGCTCATATGTTCTTCACGTGTCATTAATGGAAACTAAAAAAAACAAGCCTTTCTGCCTCAACTGGAGCAGAAGAAATTCACTGAAAGAGACTTTATCGCTTCGGAGTCCAGATAGGAATCAAGTTGAGAATCCAACAAACTGTTTCTGAATTGGTTCCTAAACGTCTCTGACTGCAACTAGAAGGAAATGTTTAATGAAAGTGTTACATGCTTATGTTTGTACAGCAGCATGTTGTAGTTAGCAGCACAGCTAGGCCTGAAGCAGATCATGATATTTATTTCTGTTCTCCTCTGTGTGGTGAACAGCAACGCTATTCAGGAAATAAACTATTGAATCTACTACAGTAGCTGCTGAGGAGACACATTTAACTCTATTTATTCTATTTCTACCAAAAGCTGTGAAGCAGATCTGATTAAATATGTTCAAGAGGAATAAACTTCTGTTCTGTTTGGATCAGGAACTTTGAATTCCTGCTGAAAGTGAAAAACCTTCAGAAATACACTCTTCTGATTCCATCCATCCATCCATCCATCCATCCATCCATCCATCCATCCATCCATCCATCCATCCATCCATCCATCCATCCATCCATCCATCCATCCATCCATCCATCCATCCATCCATCCATCCATCCATCCATCCATCCATCCATCAAGTTGTTCCTAGACCTGGTTGGTGTAAATTTAAAATAACCTGAACACATCATCCGTTTAAATGCATAAAAATGCATCTCAATAAATTCAAAAATCTCCATAAAAACACAAAACTTTATCTCTAAAATAACATTTGAGAACTAAATTCAAAATTTTAGCACAAAAACATTGTTTAATGCTGACTTATGTCACTGTCACGAATGCAAAATTCACATTTTGCATATTTTTAAGCTTCTTTTTGGGTCTCAATTGCTTCTAAAAAAAACACAAACACTTAAAAAAAACATGTAATTGTTCTTTGGTTACCTAGCAACCCAAGCCGAGCTCCAGCATGTCTGGTCAGCTGGCTTTACCACTGTCTGTAAAAGACAAAGGTTTTCTTATTGACTTATTTTCCGGAAAGCACTTGCTGCATTCTCATTGGTTGTGCAGGAGGTGCCACTTCTGCTTTTCAAAGACGCACAGTTGTACAATTGCACATTTGTCTACAGCCATAGCTGTAAATGTTGAGTTGGGAACGTGGCCAGAAGCAGCTTATTTAGCTTTAAAGTGACAAGACGCCCTAAAACGGCTCATTGTGAAATGGACAAAACTGAGCAGATTAAAATGTTATTATCTTAATGAGTTTGTACAGAAAACTTAATGAACATGTTTTGTATCACACATAGACAGATTCTATCCTGTTCAAGGAAGCACAACAGATCACCTTCAGGCTACACAAGATTATTGATGAACTTCCCAAACATTAATGGAAAGTTTAGTGGAAGAAAAAGCGATGTTCTTGAAGAAGCAACAGGAATAACTGGAGATGCTGATTTCATCTGCCAGTAGGATGTAGTATTTGCCCACACTGCCAAATTAATGATACCTACATTAATGGCCTTAGTAAGAGTGTGATACTTGTTTGGATCAAACGGGCCTGATCAGAACCACATAGAGAAACTATACAGGACATGAGAATATATTGAAACAGGCTTACATTTCTGGTTTTTAATTACTATAAATTACATTCTAAGTTCCATTAGATGTAATCCATTGTCACAGGGGTGTCCAAAGTGCGGCTCGGGGACCATTTGCGATCCTCTGAAGGACTTTTGGCGGTCCAAATGGAGCAAATCTGCTTAAATGGTTGATGAATCCTTGTTCTAAATTTTTACAGCTACATAACATCTTAAAAATATATCATATACAAAAAATAGATTTGCATTTATTGTTTTTTTTTTTCTTTTAAATTAATCTTAATTTTTGAGTAATTAGAACCAAAAACATTCACCAACTTTTTCCCAAAAACAAATTTTACTTCTGATATAAGAAAACAATCCAAGCAATTTAGAAGCTCTGGACCTTTGACAACGATCTTCCATTTTGCTCATTTTAATGAAATTTTAATTGAGTTTTTATTGAGTAGCTAATACAGTAATGAAAAGAACATCAAACGTTTATTTAAATAATAAAAGACTCCAACTTGACGACTTTCTCCCTCTTGGTGGAAATATTGGACTCATTGCATCATCATAAATAAACAAAGATTGAATTAAATGGCCAGTATTTCACATTTTCAACACATTCTGCTGTATTGAGATGCATTTGCTTCGTTTTGCTCTCACTAGTCACCGAGTCCTGCTGGTTTTCCAGCTGGAGTTTGGTGCAACATCATTCCCATTTCAGTATCACGTCTTCTCCAATCAGTGCTGGATTCACTGATCTGGTTTAAAGAAGCTGAAGTGTAAACACACATCAGCTTCTCTTGTTTATAAGTCAGTCTGGAGCAGATGAACGTTTCTTTCTACCAATAAATTATTTGTGATTCACGTTGTTTTTGGTATTTTTTGCTTCACCAAAGCTGACGGTGTGACTGTCCAGAGATCTCTGCTGATATTCCAAATAAAAAATGTTGGTTTTGATCTTTGGTTTGGTCGATCTGCTTGTTTTATGGGGTTCATTAGATTTAATAGAAACTGTTGATTAAACTGGGTTTTTACACTTTTCCCACAATAAAATTAAAGTAATGTTTCAGCTTTGGAGACAAAAATGACACAAACCAAAGGATACAGTTTTAATTCACTGTTACACATTTATTACTATTATTAATGATATATTTTAATATCCCATAGCAAGAAAAATTTCAAATATTTCCTCGCTATGTTTTCTGGAACTTAGCAAATAGAAGTAATTTAGATTATTTTTACTGACCTAAAAAAAGGGAAGTTTAACACCAAACTATAGACGGTGAGGATTAAAATGTCCTTTTATCATCTTTAAATATCTGGTCCAAACTGTAAAATACGCTTTCCAAGTTTAAACTTTTAAACGGTAGGTAGTAGTTAATCATGAAACTGTTTGAATGTCAAGGACTTTGCAAACCTTCCAAGCACCTGAAATAAATTCAGGAACTTCCCAAACGAAGCCTGATTATATTATCTAAGTAAAGTGAAGCAGATAATGCAAAATATCTGATTTAGAGTTTTTAAGCAATTTACACAACTCTTTGTATTGTTAAAAAAAATTTAAAAATCTTCATAAATAGTTTTGTTCCCACAATTATTCATAAAAAAAGTTTTTTATTACCTAAAGGCCTTTTGGTTTCTATTTAAGGCCATGCTGCTGCAAATTTAAACTTTAACAGTTTTTAAGAAAGCATATTACACAATGAAACGTTAACATAGTTAATCCATTTATTGAAAAACAATCTGTAGCATTTAATCTGAAAACAAGACAGATTGGTTTCAACCTTTAGCTCTACCTTTACCTGCAAGAAGACGGTTCTAATTTCTGACATGTAAAAAAAAACAAAACAACAAAAACAAAACAAAAAAGAAACACCTGGAAATTTAAGTGCGAAATGCTAATAAATCTCAGTTAAAATTCCTACCTTTACATTTAAAACAATACAAAACAAATCCATCTTCCACGATGTAAGTAATCCAATGAAACTGTACAAATTTTCCTGCCACAAGACCCAGATGTGGCAACAATGACGTCATGAAAAAATATATTTTACAAAACAAAAAATCCTAAAATCATCATCAGAAGGTCCTATTAACAGGTGAAGCATTGAGTTGATTTAATATCTGAACAATCTTATTGCATTTTATAATTTGTATTTAACACATTTTCTTTAAGAACAAAAAAAAAAAAAAAAAAAAAAAAAAAATCGCGGTAAAATACGTATATTTGGGGTAGAAGACACAAAAAAGACGCCTGGATTGACAAAGAAATGAAACGGTTATTGAAACCGTCATCGGTCAGCAGTGTTGAACCGTTTTAGACATCATGGCCTAAATGTTACAAATACATTCATCTCACATTTCAACATGAAACATGCTCTGTGATTAATAAAGATTTTTAAAAGTCTCATCTTTAACTTTTAGTAGAGTCAGTAAATTGAATGGTACATTATTCTGTTGGACGATCAAATCAATGTGAAATCAATGATTTATAGACTCAGAGTTTCTACGTTACAACAAAGTTTAAAACCAGATTAATTTACCTGGAAGGAAAAACATGAAAACGTGTGTGTGTGTGTGTGTGTGCGTGTGTGTGTGTGTGACTGTGTGCTCTGACGTTTACAGTCGGGTGTGAAAAATGTTGAATGATTTTCTAAAGGATACATCATCTTTTATCATAATTTTCCAACAATACTGAGAAACAATTGGGCAAAGTTTCACATTTACAACAAAAGCTAAAGCGGTTTTACCTCAACTTCTTTGAACCTTTAAAAACGAGAAAATAAATTAAGAACACTTAGACTTTCCTAAAAACCTTAAAGCTGCAGTATGCAATTTTTAGATATAAAAAATGTTTTTAAATGTTTGTTAAAACTGTCACTCTGTCATGACACAGATAATCTGTCTTCTCCCAGTGATTGGTCAGAAACAACCAATCAGAGCCAGGAGGAGGGGCTTAGTGCTGTCAATCACCTTCTCTGCTATCCTAAAGCTTCTCCCCAATAGCAGAGCCCATCATGAATGCTAAGGCTAGTTAGCATGGCCACCAACGATGGTGGAGAAACAGTTTTCCTGTAATGATGAGTTGTTTCTCTGCCATTAGCACATTCAGCAGCAGAGACTGATTTGTCTCATACAATCATAACATGTTGACAGCTTTAACAAACATGTAAATTAACCGACTTTTTAAAAAATAAAACTTGCATACTGTCGCTTTAATTTGGGGTACGATCAGATTTAATCACAAAACATGATCTGAATTGGAGGACGAACACAGTTAGCGTAACCGAGAAGGCACAGGATATCCGGCGGACTGATTGCTTCCCAGCGGCTCTACGGTGTGATGTACTCGAACTCCATGGCTCCCTGCGTCGGGGAGCTCATCGACGGCGACTGAGAGTCCGGCTGCAAGCGAGCATCCGGCTGCAAGTGAGCATCCGGCTGCAAGTGAGCATCCGGCTGCAAGCGAGCATCCGGCTGCAAGTGAGCATCCGGCTGCAAGCGAGTGCCCGGCTCGGCGAACAGGTCGTCCCAGTACATCCCGCTCTGCGCCGAAGAGTGCATGACCTCCACTTCGGCGGGGCTAATCTCCTGCATGCTGCCGTCCTCCGATATGAACGGCGTTCCCGGCAGGTCGGTCACGTACGACTTCTTCTTCGACCTGCACGGCAGCAGGCGGTACAGGTTGTCTCCGTCGTCTTTCTGCTTCCTGCCGCTCGGGTCCTGGTTGTGGACTTGCTTGCAGTGGTGGGACAGAACCTGGTAGTTCTGGAACATGTCGTTGCACAGCAGGCACTGGTACCGCCTCTCGCCCGTGTGGCACACTTCGTGTTTAGTTCTGTACTCCGCCAGGGCGAACACCTTGTTGCAGAAGCGACACGGGTACTTCTTCTCCCACGAGTGGGTGTTGAAGTGACGCCGCAGACTCGTGATGCACACATATGGGCGTTTGCACACGGCGCAAACGTAGAAAGTCTTCCCATCCATGATCAGCTCATAGTGATCGTCCAGCTCCGTTTTGTTCTTCTTCCTGTTCGGACTGAGTGTCGGCGACAGTGGCGTCTGGTCGAAGGCCTTTTTGGGCGTCGCCATTAAAGCTCTTTTCCCTTTGTTGGGTTTTGATCCTCCTTCTCCTGGGTCTTCTTTCATTTGGACGATGTCGTACGTGTCCTCTCCGATGTTGGCGTAAACTTTACATCCGGATGAAAGCGAATCGATTTCTGTGCCGGTGTCGAGAGTCACCGTCTGTTTCGCCTCTATAGTTCCCTTGGTGCTGCTAGCAGAGACTCCGGAAACATCCAGAAGTCGTAGTTTGGGATCGCCCTCTTGGGAGGAAGCGGCGACTTGCTTTTTGTGGACTCCCAATATGTCGGTGCTTTCACTGGTCGGCTCCGGTGTGAGGGTGCCTGGTTGGGCGTGTGTCGCTGGAGAGTTACTGGAGCTGCGGTCCGGACTGTTCACCTGACTCTCTGCGCCGTTAGTTTTTGGCGTGGCGGCTTCTTTTCCTGCATCCGCCGCAACGTGATTTGAGTCTTCGCTTTGTTTGGGTTCAACGTTTTCCGATTCCACTTTTTCCAAATCGATGATGTCAGAAGGGTTGGCCTTGAGACTCGCCGCTCTGGTTTGAGCATCGGTGCAGGAGACGAACACTACATCATCGCCCTCCTCCTCGCTTCCCGCGGGTTTCTTTGTCTGATTGAATTCCTCTGCGGAAATGGAGAAGGACTCCGTGATGACGGGCATAGTCTCCGGAGAGGTGTCGCTCTTGTTTCCCGTGTCCTGGGACAAACCCGGCAGACCTTTCACTTGAGACAGCGGCGAATGCAAGTTCGCAATAAACTTCACACCCAGGATCTTTCCGGCGCGGATGAGTTCCTCCAGCATGTCGGAGCGGACGCGGATGATCCTGGAGCTGTAGATGTAGTTGAGGATGTGCTCAAAGATTTCTGGCCGGATGAAGTTGAGCTCGATGACTTGTCCGGCGACGGCAAAAAGCTGGTGAAAGTACGTGCTGGAGGCCGACAGGATTGTTTTGTGCGCTCTGAATTTCTTGTCCTGTATGATGATGGTGATGTCACAAAACAAGCCATTGCTCCGCTGCTCGTTCAGAGACTTGAGGACAGCTGCTGAATACTGCGTGTCGGTTGCAGATATCAGCTTTAGGTTCGGCATGGCTGTAGAAAGAAAGAAGGAAGAAACAAAAACAGAATAGAATCAGAGTCCAGTCTGTGTGGTCACCAGCTGTGTTTACATTCACCATAGAGATGCGCACCTTGAAATTATGAAAAATTTATTTTTTGCTAAAAAACAACATTTTGTCAAGATTTTTCAGCCGTAATGAAATGGAAAAAAATGTCAAAACTGCAACAGAAGCACTTTTTTTTCACAACAGTCACATCATCAATAAGTTGGTGTTACTACTGGTGAAAACAACAGACAAGACGACAGGAAGTAACAGGAGGAAGATGGATTGCTTTTGTTATTTTGGACAATTAGCAGCTGGATCCAGTTCCCACAGCATCGCTCAGTTCATAGAAAGTCGTCATTCTAAAATTTCTGTAAAATCATTGACTGCAATTTACCCAAAACATCCCATACGTTGCTGCTCCTGAATATCAGCGGCTTGTTGCTCCAACACCTGATTAAGACGCCGGCTTCTCTCATGACTTTTAAAGATTTATCCCATGAACAAGCTTATTCATGCGTAATTTTATTTTAATTTCTTATTTAATAGAAACACCATAACTGTGAAATTATGTTTTTTAGTGAACAAAGTTTTGTGCACACTTCTAAAGAAAAATGCAGCTTGTTGCTGTTAACGAGCTGCATTTTCATTTTCATTTTCCGGGCGCCTTTATCATTTATCTTCACAGAATAATTCCCATTCAACAGATACAAAATTATATCCAGAGTTCAATGTAGAGAAAAAATGACAATTATTCTCATGATCCACCATAAACTTAAATGTAAAGTTTCATTAGGATTTAATGAGATAGAACAAAACAACAAAATACTGCTTAATGGTAAACATGTTGCAATTAGTCAGTCACATCCAGGGAATGTTCTGAGTAGAAAGATATGCAATGTCCGCATTTTACAAGGAGGGCAAAAAGTTCAGCTTTGATCCAATCGAAAGACTTGGTCTGCAGCAAATGTAGAGCCCTGAAAATTGACCATATGTTAAGAATAGCATTTATTTGATTTATGTTATGATAGTATCACTTAAGAATGGTGCATGATGGGAGTGAGGAGGTCATGACCTTGTTAGATTAGAGAAAAAAACGAGAGAGGAAAACTATATGCTGTATACTGAACCGTGGATTTTGTTTTAAAAGTTGCACAAAGTGAAACTCTTCAGTTTTTTTTAGTTCTTTTCAAGGGTGCAACATAAATTTTGGTGTTTCCGCCCGGTTCAGCAAATGTTTTCGGCAATGAGAATTTTTTTTTTTTTGATGAAGAGGAACTACGTCTCGGCGGAGGTGAAGTGCTAGCGGCTATGCTAAGCGGCTATGCTGAGTGACTACGCGGCTAGTCAGACGCGTCTACTGGAAAAGAAAAGCAACCACAAAGAATCAACCAAACGAAACATCATGGACAGTGAGTGGAATCTCTGTTTGCCGATATTGAAAAGAAACTAGTCACTCTCACTGGATAAGCTAAATGCCCTAACTGAAGCGCTAGGCCTGGAGCTTAGTGAAGAGGTGAAGTCGTCATGTCGGCTAATAAGAAGAAAAATGCTCATTCACTTGGAGAGTGAGGATGTCACTTCGTTGGAGGACAGTGGATTTTCAGTTTTGTTGACCACTAATGATTTAATAGATGACATGAATAAGAAAGCTGATATGGACGTTTTGTCAGGTGCTACGTCAGAGCACACCGCTTCTGAACAACAAGTGGTCAGTGAGCAACCTCTGCTGGTACAAATCGGTACTACACCTTCAGTTTTACCACCGCAAATGTCAAGCTGCTCACCAAGTTCTAAGTCATCGCAAGTCAAAGACCAAGTAAATCTGTATCCAATATATAGAAAGGATTTTCGAATTATTGGACAGATCGGTGATGTGGGACAGAAGGACAAACTGAACTTCGCTAGTCTTGAAAGACAAATAGAACGTGGACTTAAAAAAGGATATGATGAGGGAGAGATCGTTGAAGCAGTGATCCAAGCCATTGCACCTGATGTGAAACTAAAAAGTTATCTAGAGAGTAGGTCAGAATTATCATTGGACTCTCTCAGGCAAGTGCTTAGGACACACTTCATAGAGAAAGATGCAACAGAACTCTATCACACTTTAACACGTGCAGTACAAGATCCCAGAGAAACTCCTGTTCAGTTTCTTATACGCACTATGGACCTTAGACAAAAAGTGTTAGCTGCTTCTGATAGAGCTAAGTTGGACTAAAATATGATCCTGAGCTCGTGCAGACACAGTTCTTGCAAACTATTCTGACTGGATTACAAGATGATGCTGTAAGAGTGGACATTAAACCTTACTTGCAGGACGCAACCATTAGCGATGAAGTGCTTCTTGAAAAAATGAGCATCGCTTACAGTGTTGAACTCGAAAGAAGGAATAAACTGTCGACAAGACAAAAGAGCATCAAAGTGGCTTCAGTTCTGGAAGAGGATGGCTACAAAAATGAAAATGTTGGAAGCTCAAGGAAAAGCAAAAAGCAGACAGAAAAGCCAAACCCCATTGTGGAAAAGCTGGAAGCTAATAACAAAGTTATTTGTGAAGCTATCCAAAATCTTTCAACACAAGTTGCTAATTTGACTCACGCAAAAGTGAAAACTGAAGACAAAAACATAACTAAGTCATACTATCCAACTATTACCAGAAAAAGCCCCAGAAAATGTCATCAATGTGAACAGTCAAATCCAGAAGGAAAATGTACACACTGTTTTAAATGTGGAAGCAGTGAACATTGGGCTGTTGGATGTCGGAAAAAGAAAGACTCAGCAGTTAATGTCAACAAAATTGAAGTACATACTGCAAATTTTATTGACAGTGTTCCACAGAAGGAGGTGCCTTTGTCAAAAAAACAGGAAAAGACAGCAAAACTGATAGGACGCAAAAACCTTGTCCAGTGTAACATTGGAGGTGTCCCAGTCACAGCTCTTTGGGACACAGGATCGCAAGTGTCAATTGTGGATCTAAATTGGAAAAGAGAACATTTACCAGAAGCCGAGGTTCGATCAGTGAAAGAGCTTCTTGAAGAAGGTATGTTAGATCTTTCTGCTGCAAATGGGACTGAGATACCATATGAGGGTTGGGTAGGAGTTGAGTTTAGTCTTACAGAGAACAGAGACAGTGAACTGTTAGTACCATTTCTTGTAAGCTCTCAGCCAATTGCCAAGCCAATAGTGGTTTCAATGTCATAGAAGAGCTTGCAAAGTCTAACATATCAACAGATAGGACTCTTCCCAACAAGTTTTGGCACAGTCTTGGGTCAGCATTAGATGTAGGACACAAGAAGGCAAAAGCAGTGTTCTCTGTGTTAAGTAAAGACAAATCTATGTTGGAGAATCAAACAGTAAGGCTAGGAAGACAAGATATCATTATTCCAAAACATCAAATGTTCAAAGTAATCTGCGGAAAATTCAAGAAAAATGTGCTGAAGGGAAAATATGCAGTTTTGGAACCAAATGAAAGCACACCATGGCCAGAAGGATTACAAATACAACAGCAACTAATACACATACCAACTGATGAGGGAGCTGCAATTTCAGTTGTAGTTGAAAACAATACAGACAATGATCTCAGACTACAAAACAGAACAATAATTGGTTCATTATTCACAGTGGATAACATAGAAGATGTAAAAGAAGTCACAAAGAGGTCACAAAGGGAAAGTGGACATGTACACACCAAAGACATAAAAGTGACACCAGAAAATGAAGGAAAACCTGAAAAACAAACATGGGATCCACCAGTTGATGTTTCACACTTAACAGTGTGAAACAGTGTACTCCTCTGACTTCCACTACAACTCGGAGCTGTGCCACATACAGAAGTATGCTGACGACACAGCCATAGTCGGATGTATCAGGGACGACGGAGAGGAGGAATATCGCTGTCTGCTGAGGGACTTTGCTCTCTGGTGCCACACAAACCACCTGGAACTCAACACCTCTAAGACGAAGGAGATGGTTATAGACTTTGGGAGGTCCAGACCAAAGCCGAGACCAGTCGTACTAGAGGGAACGGAGGTTGAGGTCGTGGGCTCCTACAAGTACCTCGGGCTGTGGCTGGACAGTAAACTGGATTGGTCAAAACACACCAGCCACCTGTACGGGAAGGTGCAGAGCAGGATGTACTTCCTGAGGAGACTGCGGTCCTTTAACATCTGCAGCAAACTGCTGTGGATGTTCTACAGTCAGTGATCGCCAGTGTCCTCTTCTACACCGTGGTGTGCTGGGGAGGCAGCACATCCAAGAAGGACACGTCCAGACTGGACAAACTGATCAGGCGTGCCGGCTCTGTGGTCGGCATGAAGCTGGACTCTCTGGTGACGGTGGCAGAGGCGAGGACACTGAACAAACTGCTGAACATTATGGACGATAGCAGCCACCCTCTACACGCCGTCATCAGCAGCCAGAGGAGCCGGTTCAGTGAGAGACTGCTGCTTCTCAAGTGCCGGACCAATAGATTCAAGAACTCCTTTGTCCCCCACGCCTTCAGACTGTACAACTCCTCCTGGGGGGTCGGAGGTGACACAGGACAGAGGGAAGAAGGAGTAGTTTTTCTACAAATGTGAACTCCATATTTATCAGCCAAACTGATAAATAACAGTTTGGCCTGTTATTTATCTGTCGGTGGTCAATCTATCCACCAAATTGCTATAATTTCCTTTTGTGTTGTATTTATATTCTTTGTTTTGTATTTAATTTGTATTTTTTGTATTCTTTTGTGTATGCTTACTGTGTGCCACATTTTTGCCTGTGAGCTGCTGGTAACTATAATTTTCTGAGGGAGTCTTCCCAAGGATCAATAAAGTCAAGTCTAAGTCTAAGTCTAAGTCTAAGCAAGAAAAAGTGAAAAAAATGCTAAGAGAGGAAAGTGAGTTTTTGCACAAGATGAGTGGGATACAGGATGCATACCTGATCTGCAGATGAAAATACATCTCAAAGATAACATTCCAGTGACAAAAACATACAATTCGATTCCTCGTC